TTTTCTAGCCGCTAGCCGGGGCTACGATCGCAATCGTAAAGAGGGGTCCGAATTTAACACATAATATCTTCATTAGTGTGGCCACTGTCATGAGGACGTTTCCCCAAGTGCTTTATACTGATTGATGAGAATGACAACATTCGTACACCAAATGACTACAATGAAGTATAATTCCGATTATGTCTTTACTGGTTCCGGAATTACGATTGATGGCACGATCGATTGAACTCAGGTCGGTGTGAACCAGGAGAGTAGCTGCCCTTCGCTTTCTTGCTCGTCTGGGTAACGACCATACTATTGTTTGGGACCATTGATTCGTGTGTCCGTAGAACAATTTCAATAGAATAGAATCGGTCGTGGTCATTTAATATAGATATCTCACCGCTTCAGTGCGGGGTAGGATGAAAGGGTCCCAACCCAACATTGCCTTATGTACATTGCGCAATGCATAGACTTATGTTTTTTAGTTCATTGACATAAGTCGAGCGGCAATGTAAACTTTTTGCTCATTGTATGTCATGTACGGTTGGGGAAAGGGTTTAGGTTTTCTCCATCCAAACCGCGCACCTTTTACACGTGCGGAGTTTAATCCATTAGTCTTATTTACATTGGTGTCATTAATGTCCATATTTTTGGTACATAAATTTATATAACGTAGTGAGAAACATAAAAAGTGGTTTTTAACCAGTATGTTACAAGTCCAGTGAAATCACGAACCATACATCGTCTGAACCGAATGAACTCTTTAAGTCCCGTCACCGCATCGGGTCCTTAATAACACACCCACCCGGACCTTCTTTACATCCACCCGGGTCCCCCTCTGTATAATTATCGCACCTTCCAGACTCGACTTTGAATTTATTACTGAAATTACTAAAAAATACGTGGATTATTTTGTATTCGTATTTAATCGTCACTTTTATTTTCTAGATGCTGTATCGGAAGTCTAAGTCGCTTTATTTATGTATCCAAATGACACCACCAGCCGTAGTCTTATACACCTAATAGTTTAGAACTGTTATCCCATTACACATAGCAAGTTCCATATATAGGTTGAAAATAGCTCAGCTGAAATACGCATGACAGAATAGCGTAGGCATTGGAAAACATTACACCACAGTCTGTCACGCGATGCCACACCTGAAGTCGCTCCCTCCCCCGATGCGTGAGCAACTGGGGGTGTAATATTAACTCGTACTAAAGATATACACATTATCAGATTAGCATGTAGATTTTTAGAACACAGTGTCTCACTATAGTACACAGTCTACAATAGTGGGTCAATGTTTTTACTTACTACAGTACTAAAGTATCCATAAGGGAACTCTATAATTAGTGACATGTACCTTTTGTGAAGTATTATCTGTCAAATAGCGACTAGATGGTCATCTCGACTTAAATATATATTTTGCATTCGAGTCGTAAATACGTTGAACTAAACTTCGCACACACACCACCTCCCCGTCTTTGCAACACACATCCACTGGTCCACAGGGGCGTGACACGCCCTGACGTGTGTGGTCGTAAAAAATAATAAACAGGGCGCACGGTGTGTACTCTGATACAGGGCGTAAACTCACTATCAGGCACGCTCTTTCCGGCCTAGCCAAGCGACTGGTCGGCCGTGGCGGGGCAAATAATAATATGAACAGATTTGCCGAGTTACATTCAACGCCGACTGTCAGCTGTGTCTCCAGGGGGTTCGCGGGGGGGGGGGGGGGCAACCTGTCAAGTGCTCGCGCTCACAGAGGGCAGTCCAGGTGGTGGTGGGGCAGGTGAGTACATTTTTTAGGGGTGGATGTGGGTGAACGAAAATTTGACATGACAAAATAGCAAGAAAAACCTCTTTTTTATTTCCATTTGAATGATGTAACTTGTGTTGATTAACGAAAAAATAAATTTACTTTATGTATTATAAAGTGTAGTTTTCTTGTTGTTACAAAATTGTTTAGCATAATTTATTAGGACTACTGTCTTGACATTTGTCTGTATTGACTTTTGAAATGAATTTATCTCCTTCTCCTTAGGTTCGTCACAATGGAGATTAGTAATTGGGTACAAACATATTACATCAATTGAGACACACAAGACATCGTATGTCTCTTGCGACTGCACTTTCTATCTGCACAAATGGTTGACATTAAACATTAAAAAGACCAGGCAGTTCAGAGAGAATCAAAGGAAGGCAGACAGGCAGCTTTGCATGACATTCTTCTGGACGTGTTTCATTGTGGTGATAGTGAGGGTAGTCAATCGTTTTGTTGACATTAAAGATATTGTTGTATTATAATAATAATAATGCTTTTATTTTCTAACAAATCATGATGTAAATACATGATTTTGAATATGGCATTAGTGTTGTATTTTCCTGACTCAAAAGACTTCATAACAGTAAAGTGATTTCATTTTCTGAGCCTACAAAACTATTCAATTATTCAATCTTTATTTCAGACTCAAGGTCCATATCACATACAAAAAGACAAGACACACATCAATAAATAAGATAAAAAATGATTTGCCTAAACCAACTTATTTATTATTCATTCAATGATTACTCATCAAATGTTGTGTAAATATTAGTGAAGGCACAAATAGTCAAACCTTTAATATTATTGCAGGTGTTGAGTATTACATTTTTTTTGTGATGTTGGATTTTCTCCATATCGCCTAGTCATACCCATGCTTTAATTTTCACTATGCACAGTTGGTATATTCTTTCCATTCATTTTTGAATCAAGCTAACTGGTTGACCTTGACAGTTTTCATGAAATGTTGTGAATATTGTATCCGCTGAATATACCCTTGTGAGCAGACTGCAGGCTGTTTATGAATTATGAAGTGTACTCTGCGGCTGTCATGTGGATGTTGTGACTGTCAGTATAAATATATTTCATGAATATTAAGACAGAGGTTAAGTTTAGAGAACAGTTTCCCTCCTGTACTGCTGCACCGCACAGTCTGAGTGTGTTTCATCTCAGAGTGTGTGCCAGTAGGCGGCATGAGGTGATGAAGCGGCGAAGTTTTCTGTGTGTTGGCTCACACTGCGCTGGCAGACTGGGATGTTTCTGTCTGTGAACTGTGAATCAGCTAGTTGGTCTGTGTGTGTGTGTGTGTGTGTGTGTGTGTGTGTGTGTGTGTGTGTGTGTGTTGCCTTCACCAATCATTATAGAGAATCAGAGAGACATACATTAATTTAACAACCTTTAATTTTTTCTCCATTTTCAATATTTCACAATGAAAAATCAGTGTTTATGTAACCATTTTTGCATATCCACATGAAGTATGACAATACATAATCACTTCTGGACAAGCCTTATTCAATTTCTTTTTTTTTTTATCCATTTCTTTCGCAAACAACAAAGTTTATACGGTAACACAGAGTACAAATGGTAACTGGGGCAAAGGGGAGTATGGGTAAATACACAGCACAACCAGAAAGAACATAGAGCAAAATGACCCAACAGGATGACAGAAAAACACATGTAATAATAAAGCCCAAAATAATAACGGAATATAATAGAAAATAAAAATATTAATAAAATAATAATAAAATAATAACAGCAGTATACAAGAGATTAAAGACAACTTTACATTTATACATAGTGGCCAGAGGCAGGCACCAGGAAGTGAAACAGTTAAACTTGTACAGACTGGATGATCTAAGGTAGCTAACACGACTCAGTGCAGGGGGGAGTGGGCTCGTAAAGACGTCGGCCAAAGTGGGGACGAGGGACAACACAATAAAGAGGCACCTTATGAAGAGAGAGCAGCGTTGCTGGTTTTTCCACGGGAGAGCCATTTTGTTTATTAAACAGACCATATTTGTCTGGAAATGAAGATGTATTGATTTTTCGTTGAGCAGCCGGCAGACGTTTGCCTTGTGCTTTTCAGGTTTTGCAAACAGCAAAGTGTGACTACATAGCCTTGACTGATATGCATTAGATAAATGGCCTTGACTATTTCAACAGCTCACCTGAATGAGGCCCCCGATCTGATCCATCAATAAAAAAAAATTGTACCTTTCTTTTTTTTCTTTTCTTCTTTTTCTATACAAGTTGTGGTTCATGTTGAAAAAATCTTGGAGGCATTTTCTAGACAAAAAGCGACTGTACAAGGTGTCTCATCAAGGGGAAAAAACCTTTTGAGTCTACGACTTCGTCATCCCACTGCTTTATTTGTTGTTGTTTTCTGCCACATTTTTCTTCTTAAAATATATTTTCCATTTATGCAAATGTATGTCACAGTAATATACAATCTAAGTGCTTCAGAAATGAAGGGGGACTTGTTTGTGAATGTGGTCAGACAGTGGGGGCGCAAATAGTAAAGGTGTGTGTTCAGAGGGAGGCAACTCTTTGCCAAAAAGGGAGATGCTAAAGGAGGGATGCGTATTCTTTGGTCAGAGGATTGTTCCCGTAATGCCACAATAAACGCTGGGCAGCCACCAGGGCAGTTTACAAAAATGAATGATGTATGAATTTTCCATAAGGGAAATACCCCAGACTCCAGCTCTGGAGAGTTGCCTTCCTAATTAAGTGATCTACCAAATAGGAAGGACAGGTAGGACAGATTTGAAGGGAAGAGGAACACAGTGAAACTTTGTGAAATCACATCCAAACTGCACCTCGGGCAGATCACCGGCTCTTCTCTGTGTCGTAGGGTAGCAATGTTAGTTATTGTGGTATTGGTAACAGAAAAAAGTCCCAAGTGTCCTTACTCTTGCCTCTTATTGGGCCCACCTCTGCTACTGGATCCCTTTTTCCCTCCCTCCTTTTTAGCCTCCTCCCTCTCATTCAGAGAGTTGATCTGTCCCGCACACTCAGTGTCATTGTCCACCTCCTTGCTCTCTCCGTTCATCTGGGAGCTGTGAGGGTTGCTGGGCAGAGCTAAGTAGGGGTGCTGAGGCAAAGTGGGAGAGGGGGACGTGGACATGTTGACGGTTCCCTCCATGTGCATCCCCGCCGCCCCGTTGGTAAGGGCTCTGTACTTGAGGCGGAGCTTGTGGGGCAGGGCGGTGCCTTTGTACTCGGCTTGGAGCTCGCTGTGTGAGCTTGGAACTCCAGCCTCCTTCTGATGGTAGCTGCTGATGTCTGAGGAGGACGAGCAGGGGGACTCGTCATCCGTGGAGCCCTCCTTGTCAGAGCTCCGAGGTTCCCCGTCACTGGAGGAGGTGTCTTTAGTGGAAGAGTTCTCCTGGTAGAAGCCGCCTGCTCGTGGGCCTCCCTCATACGTGAGAACCGGGGGCTCTTCGTCCAGTGTGTTGAGGTAGCCGTTGTGCTGTGGGAACGAGGACTCGCCCTCCTCCGTGTTGCGGGTCAGATCAGGGGCGAAGGGGTTCTGTTGGCTTTGCTGCAGACCGCCCTCCTGCCCCTGGTAGCTGTAGTGATGGTGGCTCTCGCGCTGTTGTTGCGTGTCGGTGTTGTATCTCTGCTGTACGTCATCTGTGGACTCAGCACGACCTTCGGTGTAATCGTACTGAGGTGAATCCATGGTGTTTGTTCTCTCCAGCTTCTCAGCGACCTCTGTGATGTCTGAGAACTTGGAGGTGGAGGAGTGCTGCTGGGATCTGCTCGGCTGCTCCTCGGCCCGCTGGGTGTCCATTGGGTAACAGCCGCTGCTGGAGCGGTACAGGATGACGCTCCTCTGCGCGGAGGTGGCCTGAGGAGCTGGACTGGAGGCCTTTACGTGGCAATGCTGCTGTTGCTGCTGCTGGTGGTGTTGGTAGTCCATGGCACTTTCAGCCAATGGGGCGTTCTGCTGGTGTGGAGAAACCAGGGTAGTGTGGTTGCCATGGTAAGCTCCATTCTGCAAATCATTGGGCATCGCCTTGCTTTCCAGGCCGGCCATCTCCATAGTTGCGGGCTCCGTCTTTATGTTGAAGCCCATTGGTTCTGGGCTGTCACTGGAGGAGTCGTCAGACATGTCGGAGATGGAGCCCCGTGGAGAGTACTGGTGGAGCGCGTTGTGGCGCTCGCCGCGGCCCGACTGTTCGGTTTCAGACGAGTCTGAGTTCAGCATCACCTGGGATGCACTGGAGTAGCCGCTGCTTGAGAGGTAGGGGTTGGGGGTGCCGTTGCCGCTCCCACTACTACTGTTGACACAAGCAGCGCTGTTGGATAACTGCTGACTTTTCTCCATGTAGGATGCCGTGCTGATGAGGCCGAAGCGCAACTTGAGCTGAAGGAGCTCCGTCTTTATGCGAACATTCTCCTCGTTCAGCGCCATGACGCGGTTCTCCAGCACCATGTCGTTGAGGCGCCGCTTTTCCCTTGAGCGCTTGGCTGCTTCATTGTTCTTCCTTCGCTTTTCCCAATAGGAAGCATCTTTCTTCTCGTCGGAAATGAACTCTCGCTTGCGACGGCTACTCGCATTGGACTTGGAACCTTTAGACTGGCGGCTGCTCCGCGGTCCTTCTTCCGGAGAAGCGGATCGGATGCTGCCGCTGTAGGAGGAAAAATTGTCGACATCCATTGCATTCTTGTTGCTGGTTGATGGGAGGTGTAGACCCAGACTTTCCATGTTTTCCTAGCTGTTGGCCAGAGTGTAACTCTAGCAAAGGGCAAAGGGGGAAAGGGAAAATTCAAAACAAGATGAGACGACTGCTTTGTTGCTGAGGACTAAGATGCAGGATCTGCAAAAATGTCTTGATGAGGTATTTGTTCCTTGAAGGGATAGCCTCATTGATTTCTGTTATTGTTCAACGTTCAAGTGTCCATAATCGCCAGGAAGATTAAAAAGAGGTGGAACTTCAGAAAAACCTCAGACATTGGACAAGTGTTCTGAACGGGGAAAGACAAAAAAGAAGTAGGTTTGTTTTCGATCAAAGAGTCTTTCAGCTGTGATTTCCTCAGTCTCTGGAGCCTTGTTGGAGTGGATTTTGACTTTATCTTCCTCAATCTTTAGCAGAGCTGTGATGTCTGTCAGGCTGCTGCTCTCAGTGTCTTACGGAGGATGTAGGTCAGTCCGTCTACTTTGGGGGCTCCCTGAGGATCCGTTTCAGTGCTTCTGTTTGCTGGCCACTTACTGAGAGAAAATAGGGAGGGGAGAGAGGGAGTGAGAGCGTCAGATTGGATGTAAAACCACTAAGATTCATAGTAACATATATTTACATTTCAGTGAAATTAGACTCATGAACTGTAGTACAAAGCTTTAGTTTGGGTCCCTTGCATGTAAGGGATCAATACACAGTGTGTCATCACACACACGCTGCTGCGGCTGGGATTAAACATACTGTATGTGCTGCTGCTGCAGAGCTATTGTGTAAGAAGGGGCACTGTCATAGTCACATAACAGGACTAAAGAAGGCTGACCTGGAGCCAGCTCTGCAGAGACTGACAGATAAAGAGCTGAGGGAGGCACATAATGGACGGAGATGGGATGAATCAAAACCATTATGATATAACTCCAATTATGGTACAGTACATTAAAAATACTTATGTTAACATTTCTAAATTATATATTATAAAATAAATCACGAGGGAGCAGATTTAAAGAAATGCATCAAACTCAGGAGATCTCCGGCAATGCCTTTGTTGTAGGAGCCGTCACACTGTGGGAAATTACACAACTCCCCAGGCTGCTGCTGAACATCCTTACGCAGTGTCAAAATATGTAACAGCAGGAAGCCTCGCTCACCGAACATGTTTGCGATACCCACGCCGCTTAAACGCAGCACAGAGGGATGTTGACGACAGTCCGGCGTTACGTAATACTTAGATCTGCACTTGTTTTCGGCCACATGCTTCTGGTTCTCCTGCACTTCACAGCTGATATGCGGTGGTAATTAATAACACATCACTACACTGAACCCGGAGACCATGGTAATCAGGAAAACATATTTTTTTATAACACACACAGGGAAATTATCTAGGTCACTGTGCCTCCGGGTAACAATGACTGATTTTCATGCTAACTGGAGTTAGCACAAATATGAACTTTTATCATCACTCGATTGTTTTATTACGTAATCTTCACGGTTTTCGGAGCCCCCCCCCAAATTGGAAACTGGAATCATTGCAGCACAATTAGTTTCATGGAAGCTACGTTATGTTCAGTGATTTACTAGTCTCACCACTTCCGTTGCATGTAAAGATTGTCAACTCTAATGCAAAATTTCACATTTTGAATATTGAAATAATACAAGAAGCACAAGTATGCATATGACTATTGGTACAGGAGCAGTATTTAAGTATTTGCATTTTACTATTGTAGCCTTTGCCGCATCTTTTTTCATCCAGTACATCTCAAAAACGACGGTTCAAATTAAATATAATATACATCAGTTAAAGTATCTTATAACAGATTCCATGACCAGTCGATATTTCTGTCAGGACTTTGGTTTTTCATTTTGAGAGATTTAACTTCAAACTTCAGACAAGTATAGCTGCAGAGGAATTTAGAAGCTTTGTTTAGGAAACACCAAGCAGCTACTAAATCCCATTTGGGCTGCAATATTTGTCTGATATCTTTCATGGTGTGAGCAGAGAAAGCAGATCTGAGCAAAGAAACCCTGCCGACGTCTTCAATTATTTCAACTGTGCTGTGATGGCAGGAGAGCTGAACAAACTCCTTATCCCAAAGAGAGTTGAACAAAGGTACTTGAGTTAAACAAAACTGACTCACCTCGATCTTCTTTCACTACGCTGCAGTGTATTGTTCCCTAATGAAAAGCCACTTACTTCTCACCATCGAGTCAATGCTACATAGCTATTTACTATAAAATATATCGTAAGATTATTTAAATCATGTCTTTTCTTTCCTCGCAGTCAATGACCCTGTTACATAATCTCATTTTTATAAAATCCGCATTGAGACCTTTGAACAGCTCGACTTCGGCCCTGAATAATTAACCATTTGTTTACTCATGTCTGTTATGTTGTAACTGAAAGTCTATGCTGCAGGCTATTCTTCAAATTTAATTTACCCTTCAGTGCCAAAACAAGGATTTCACCGTCTCCTTCTCTCAAAGAACTGGAGTAAAGCTACACCATTTGGGAAGGGATTTGGACAGTACCATCAACAGATGTGGACAAATGTGGGGTCAGCCCCTCCCCCTCTCACTAACCCTGAATATTTTTAATAAAGACTTTCAAGGGAGGGAGGAGGCGTGAAACAAAGGCGGCGGGAAGGAAGCGTGCATACGTCTGCGTTGTCCCACTGACCTAGAAACGACGCTAAGCAGTAAACACTCCTCCTGTCTTTGACGGTGCGCCATTAAAATAGGTCAGTGGAGAGGGAGGCCAGGAGAGGAAAGTAAGGGAGTAACAGAGTGCACTCTAAAAATAGAGGGAGGTGAGGGGGAGGGAGCAGAAGAGTGATGGGGTGACATCAGTTTGTGGAAAGCAGAGGAATTGTACAGAATCTGCAGCAGGAGGGATAAAAGGGACAAACTCCAATACGTCATCTGATTATAAAGCACCGTTGATCTTCATGCAACATTAATCCCGGCTCTTGGAAGACGCCTTGTGCAGCGCGGAGCAATATGAATCAATAGCAGATGAACGTCGGTAGGGAGAGATAGGGAGATGGTGTTGACGTCAGAGCACACACCCTTCTCTGCAGCCAAATTCACACATAACAGGCTCTCTCTCAGGACTGCATGGGGATGGGCTGCCGTGGCTGCTCGTAACGTACGTGCCCTGAATTTCTCTTGTTGCAGAGCAAAGCTTGTGTAACGTGTGCATATTACATCGCAGCAGAAGCTACAGGTTAACTGGCCGTGAATGCTCTGCTAACTCCCCTATTTACCCTCCTCTATGTGCTCTGAACAAAGGCCAATACTTGAGCTACACAAAAAAGGGATTCTGGATATGGTACAATGTCTAATTGGCTTTTTCTGCAGAGGTTAATTTCCCATTTAAACCAATGATTAACTGCGGCCACTGTAAGCTGTCTTTTTTCACTCCTTCTGGCTGTGGAAAACACAGGTCTGAAGTAGTTCCCAGGCACTTGCCGCTCGGGAGGAATGCCTCACCTCTGACCTCCTCTGAGGCAAGTGTGAGTAAAACGCTTGGCATCCTCTTCCCCTCCTCCATCCTTTAAGTGATCCAACACCACACACGTGGAGGGGGCCCCTAGCTATGAGCCTCCATTTTGCCACAGAGCTTTTTGTGTCAAGAAACACATCTAGCAGACAGGAATCCAGACATTCCAGGTCAGCCAGTGAGACCCATTGCTGAGGGCCATTTAACACTTCCTATTAGCAATACACTTCTACCTCCACTCGTGACAGAACACTAGATCTTCAGGTGAATGCACATGTTTCCAGATAAACAGGATCTTATGATATTTTCAATCTGTCTATAACACAATTGAGTTTAGCAACCTGAATTCCCCCTACGGCATTACAGAAGTATGCCTTCCTTCATAAAATCTGTTAGTGTTTTGAAGATGACTTAGTCAATTAGTGACATGTGACTCATATTTTAAAAGCTTATTTTTATTTAACACTAATGAATAGACACTAAAGTTTAACAAACTAGGTCGCTGTGGTAACTAAAGGCTGTATGAATGAGTCCACAGTGTGCCCTGTTTCCTCATGTGTCTCCTCACCCAGACTCAGGTCTGACCTACATTCAGAGGTCTGGCTGGGAACGGAGCAAAGCAGACGGCTCTGAAACCAGACCAGCTGGCAGCGGCGGACTATAGGAGCTCACCAGAACTCTGGCCCGGCCTCGCCAGACAGCGGCTTCCATGCATTAAATCACATCCTGGATGTTCACTTGTTATTCTAATTTCAGTTACGCAAAGACAAAAGAAAACATACAATCTGGTTCTCTTCTGCTTTTTTTCTTTGTTCCACGTTTTCTCTTGGAGGAGACAGACTGAGAAAGTTAAAAATAACTCACAGACACTCAACAGCTGTGTGACGTCATCGATGAAAGCATTTTTTAAATATCCATGTGCTTTAGGAAAAGGCATTTGGTGTTAACTGTGGTATAAATGATGGGAAAAGGGAGCAGGGTGGTGTAAAGGGGAATCAATTAAAGGCCCCTGTGTGTCCCAGGAGAGAGCTGCTGTTTATTGCTTCTCCCCGCTGTGTGCTGGTTATGTCATACCCTCCAACTCCCTCAAAGCATTGCTCTGTGCTTTACTTAACACAACTCATGAGGACAAGAAAGAAAGAAATCACCCAGTGACTCACTTTGAATGAAAAAAAACAGACGTTTTGTGACTGTTCTCTCCTTTGAACTTGAACACCTAAAAATGTGGAAAAATGTTCAGCACATGTTGAGAAAGGGAAGTTTCAAAGACAATATGAAGCAAAAACATTATTTAGTTTTTTAATATATTACGTTGCATGTGTTCCCCCTGTAGTAGGCCTACTCTGTTATACTCCACAATGTTTAAAAACATATTACACCTGAAGCCCATCCTGAAAACGTTATGCATTTTATCTCTTTGTATATGTTCTACGGTTCTACCTCAACTATGAGTTTCACCCACATTTATTCAAATGTTGCATTAGCACTACCCTTTGTGCTTACCCATGCTTTAAACCAGACATGTGATTGCATCAGTCGACAGCCACAAATACTATTGAGCGATCTAATCGATCAAAGGGATGTAGTGACCTACATATGGACGACATTCATAAAGCCTACAGTCCGCAGCACGCCACGTGCAGGAGCTAATACAGTGTAGTATGCTACCCTGTGTGTCTGCATTAACCAGACAACACACAGCCAGCTCTCCCCCCATCCCTGGAAAACACCACCGTAGAGGAAATAACCTCGCCTTGACATTGAGCACACAACGTGGGATACGGCCAACCACGTTTCCCAAATATTTTACATGTTTCGTGTAAATAACAATGAACAATGCGACAAAACCGGCAACAAAGTAGCACATTAGCGCCGGTAGTGCCGTGTTTAACGTTACAAAAGCGACCGCAAACGTTTCAAAGTCACGGCAGAGCCGAGAATCGCCATGTGAACAATGACCGGCCACAAGCATCATGTCCTCACCTCAACAGACCGCGGAAACACCGATATTACCATGAATGAAATACATAAACGGAGATAGAAACAGACAAAGACAAAAAGCAGCCTTGCGCTCAGTCATAACATACCTCTCCGTGTCCTAGAGGGGGGAGAAAGATTCCGGCTTCACCGACACAAAGCTGTCTCGCTCCCGTTTCCTCCTTTTCCTTGCGCGTGTGGAAGAAACCTCCCAAAAAAGCCGAAAAGTTTTCGTCTCCCTCTTCTGTCGCAGCTCGGCTGAGTGGCGGTGTGGTGAGAGGCTGTGCTGGATGCTGTTTCTGTCTCTTGGCTCTGGCTGCCTGTGTGTTGTGCGCTGCCGGACCCTTTGCTCCAGTTTCTCCGGCTCCCTTGCTAGAAATATGTGTTAGTAGGTCAGCGGTTGCATAACAGCTCTTAGGCTGCCTCGTCACGTTGTTGTCCTCTGTCTCTCAGCGCAAGAGTCTCTCTCTGTTATTAGTCCCTCTCTTTTCCCCACCCCTCCTTCCCATTTCCACCTCTGCTCCATCATCCCATTTATTTTTATAACTTGGCCCTGTATGCATGTTACACAGACATACATCATATTACTGAGAGGTCCGATAATAGCATGCAACAGCATGTCCTTGACCTGTGCAAGTGTACACTCACTGTTGCTCATTATAGCCTTTGTTCCTTTTATAATCAAGCAAATTGAATAAAATGTATTCTGAATATAGGCTACTTCTTCTTTCACTACTTGCAAGCAAACCTTTGGAATGAACCTCAATGTGAACAGTTGAAACATTTTAAAGGAAATAAAGGAATTAATAGCAGACAATAAGGCCATATCATTTTGTGATCAATTTGTTTGAAGCGGCCACTGTGGAGCTACTGGACATATTTAAATCATGTGCATTTAAAACAACATCAGAATTTAACTTTGATGTGGAAGAAGTCTGATCTTTTACTTTGTTAATATTATAGTGTAACAATGCTCTCATGAGTCCTCCGTTCAAAATGTAACTTAAGTAAAAGGCCAAAAAGGATCAGCATCAAAATATTCTTAAAGTTTATCATTAGTAATGCATGATTGCTTTAACTTAAATGTTGCAGCTGGTAAAGGTGGAACTAATGTAAACACTTCACATACTGCCAGTCACCATACATAATAAATATTCTATTATTAGGTGATTTTCAACTTGTATTAATTACCTCAATCACTTAATTTCAGCATTCACTGATTTTAGCATCAAGGTCATTAACAGTAGGATTCATTCTGGTTTATTAACAAAATGTTGTTTTGATACAATTGCAAAATGAGTCATAGGCTTCTTATTTTTCTCACTCATTTGGGATAAATATAAGGCTATGTGTCAGCAGTGCATCACCGTGTGCAAAAGGACGGGATGTAGGTCATTGGGGACTGTTTAGAGAAATGCAGAGTATATGTGGTAAGTAACAGTTATAATACCTCACCAACCCACGTATTACACTGCTAGATTATAAAGCATGTTGAATATTGGATGCACTGAGGAAATATTGTTGCCTCAGATCGATCGTGTATCGGTTCAGATCACAACATTTTAATGTTTTTGCACTGTCGAACAGAGTTTAACCCTTTGTTTGATTAATATGGTCTTTATTGTAAACAATAGAAATGTGGCCATGATCTGGTATTTTTTGCTAATAATAACGTACATTCAGTAACAACAATAAATACTGGATTCTATCTAAGCTCATTTGAATATTATTTTTTTTTTGAAAAACCTAATTAAAACACACATTAAAACTATAGATCCCACACTGAAACTGCATCAATGCAAAGAAGCTTGAACCCACTCACTCTTTTGTGTGTGTTTTTAATGTCAATTATTTCTATTTTTTGTCCTTTGTGTGCCCTTTTTTTGTAAAAGATTAACTACATATTCTTTTAAACATATCTGTTAAATTGAAGGGATACACCAAATCATTGTCACTATTCATGGCCATTACAATTAATATAAAACACCTAATAAAACATGGATAATCTCTAATAAAACCTGAATTATACCATTGTTTTTTTGTTTATACTCTTACAGTCAATTTGTTTATGTTTAGTATCTTTTGGTTTATCTGCTTATGTGCTTTTCTATTATCCCATAAAACCCATTGTTCTCTTCACCACTACATTTCATAAGCAGTTGCGTCAGCCCTGTTTTGGTATCAGACTGACACATCCACTTCCAACCCACTTTCTCACACACATCCCTTCCCCCTACCTTGACTCAAAAAACACATGCACTCATTCACCTCACCCACCACCACCACCACCATTAGACCATGTTGGGGGAAACAGTGGCCTTGAACTTGTCTAGCTCCTTCCCCCACCAGTGCTCTGTTTTCGCCACCAACCCCCAACGCACTGCTCCATCTCTTCAGCTGCCTCTGCATGCAGGCATTCCCTTGGCAACTGTGGTTTGGTGGTGCCTGCCTAGCAACCAGAATGCTCTCGCTTCTGCCTATAAGGCTCGTGGCATGGGGGGGGGGCTGGATGAAGATTGATTGCAGACAAAAGATCTCATGTGTATCTCCTGTTGTTATCGTCATCCGGGGTCTCTGCTGCAGCGGTGTTACCTGTTTAACCTCACATGGTGGCATTACATATTATAATATGTAATAATCGTCATGCCATTTTCAAGCTCCTTCCTTGTTCTTGGCATTTTTTTATTTTGTTTTAGTAAAGACAAAGGTCATTTAAAAGTGGTAATGCTTCACTTCCAATCTAAAATGACATCCATAGCTTTTGTCTGTATGTGCAGAGTGTGTTGCAACAGCAGTAAGCACAATGGAGGAGATGACCTCTGTAGTAACACTTTGAATGAGTGAGTGAGTGAATGATCAATGATGATAGACACCTGTCGCCACCTGGTGTTGATAAAAAAAAGACTGAAAACTGAAGAATGTACCTTTAAAGAATAATGGCATTTGGGTCAAGGTTAATCATATTCTTTGCCAAAAATGAGTAATTGTGCATATATTTTGTGGCTTTTCTGGCCATTGCTTACATAATCTATTTCACAGCAGCACACCTGATGTCTATCTGCAAATGTATGCTCCATCCAGGTGTTGGATTCTGAACCTGTATCCTTCCCCTACAGTACATGAGGTCCAATCAGTCTCCACTGCAGCTGCCTTGATGCTAAAAATAGCTTTCGTACTGCTGACGTGAGTGATGACTCATGCAGAGTCTCACATCTCTTTCTGCATCCCTACACCACTCCCCTCTCCCTGGCACTGTCCGACACCCAACTCACCCCCTCTGCATATATCAGTAACCTTCATTCAGTTAGGGGGTGCTGACGAAAAGGTGGTTTGTCCAGTTTTAAAGCATTCATTAAAGAGGGTTATAAATCATTCCAGCACAAAAGGAAATGTTTGACATATACATATTCTTGCGCAGTGCACCTCTCCTCTCAGTGACTCAGAGCTCTCTCTCGGCCCTAGCTTGGTCAGCTTTCTACTTTTACCCCAGCTTATCCTTGCCTGTGTAATCTAAACTAGCTGAAAACATAACTTTAGTGCATATTTACAGATGTAACTCTTGATGAATACTGTATGTATGGCCTCTCAAACAAAAACAGCATCTAAGTTATTCAAAAAGATTTCAATCTCAAAGACAGTGTAAACTCTATCACAGCGAAACAAATTTCAGGTGAATTGTAATGTTAAATATACAAGAAAAAAATCGATCACAACAGATTTACCTAAAATAAACTTTTATTTCCAGGTTCATTTCGTTTATAGAAATCAGATACAGTAAGCAATATTAATATCACAGAAACATAAAAGCTTTACTGTCTTTTTCTTTTCTTCAGGACAGCATATCATAATGATATCTGTGTTAAAAACCTATGAACTACACATTGTCCCACTGTAGACAGAAATGGCTTTTATACCTCTGAGTTAAGTGAATATGGTGAAGTGTTGTACATTTTAACGGTGTACTATATGTTGTATACAAGTTAATGTCCAGTGTTTCTGATAGACCAGTTTGAAACCAGAAATAAATAGCGTTATTCAAATCTGAGGAATTATCATGATTAAGAGACATGTGGTTATTCTGGAAGCCCTGAGAGAAAAGTGGGACATTAAATTGTTATGATCTAATACATTTTCAGATGGAATTTTTTTTCCAGGATATGTTTCATAATTTAATTTAATGTCACCTTGTAAAAACGTATTTAGATCATACTTACAAAATGCCTTTGCCTATCCAGGCTTCCGTAGATATATCACACTGACATCTCTTTTAGATTTGCATTCATTAGACATAATACATTATTAAAAAACGAATATGTTGGTGTTCTTTCTGATAGTGATTTGCCGACAATCACAGAACAAACACTTTCCTAAAAGAAGCTTTTCCAGTGAAACAGGTGTCAGTAAGGGTAAGATCGATGGTTTGTGAAGATGTAGTGTGAAATCTGTCTGCTAACTTTAGTCTTTTAAGCGATCTTGGAGAGCAGCTGCTGAGAGAAAAGCATCTTGAGCTGAGCCACTTCCTGAGACAAACAGCTGATCTGAGACCTGAGACTGACGTCCTCTGTTGAATGCTTGGTGTGCCCGGAGCTCTGAAGGGAGGAGGCGTTATAATGGCGAGAGGACGGACCCTGATACTGCTCCCCAAGACCACCATAGGCCTCCTCCCTGGGCCAAGGGGCCTGACTCTCTATCCGACCCTCCAGTCCTGCCTGCTGCTGGTTCCTCACCTGGATGTTTGGCCACACTGTGGCTACAGGGGGTCCATTGTGCCTGGTAGCTGAAGATGGAGATATCTCCCCTCCTTCGCTGCAACAAGAGGGCCCTTTGAAGCGGAGCTTGTGCGGGAGGCTCCTCAAACCCTCGGGTGAGTCTTGTCTGTTTACATACTGACTCTCGTTGACCTCAAGGAGACAGGTGTGGGAGTCGTAGCCTTGCTGCTCCTTCACCACCTCCCTCGGAGAAGGCCCAATATACTCATTTGGAGATTCATCAAAAAATACAGGGCAGGCCATGTTTGAGCTACATAAGGTGGATACACCCGACTCCTCGGATACACTTTGACGTGACAAAGGCCCGGCCCCCCTTGGTTCATAGATGGGACCCTGATGTGGAGGCTGAGAATGGACGTGGTGGATGTGGTTGGGGTATGAGGATCCATCTGTGTGAGACTGGTAGCGGTTTGTGGTACCGGGTGTTGGGTGAGCACAGAGTGGTGCAGACAATGGTAGAATTGAGACTTCAGACGGGTCCTTGACCAGGCCAAAGCGAAACTTCAGAGCCAACACCTCGGCCCTCAGATGGGCGTTCTCCTCCAGCAGGCCCAGCACTCGCCTCTCCAGCACCATGTCATTGGTTTGCCGCTTCTCTCTGGACCGTTTGGCTGCCTCGTTGTTTTTTTTCCTCTTGTCCCAATAGCCGTCATCTTTCCTATCGTCAGGGATGAACTCTCGTTTGCGGCGTGCAACGTTGGCGATGTCTTCATCGCAGCTACTGCCTTCTCTAGCTTCTGTCTTGGCAAGGCTCTCTTTGTGATTGAAGGGAAATGTGTGACCCAGGAGGGTTCGAGCCAGCTGGCCTCCCCTGGAGGTGAGGATGGAAACAGCCTCATCTGTGAAGGATGCAGCCCTTCCTCGAGGCCTTGACTCTGGCCCCTTTACAGCCAGCGGCGAGGGCGCTGACAGCTCGTGAGCAACACTTCCCACAGTCTGACCCGTCATGTTCCAACACTGATTTCACACCTGAAGGAGCGGGGAGGTATGTGAGGATCTTACTGAGGTTGTAAAATGTGCTGTAATGGCACCATCTGGTGGTGTACAAATACACAAACATATAGAGGGGTGACCGTTTGTTTACAATGTTGCAAAACATATCGTACTGTTACATGTTGTTTTGGATAAGACTTGAATATAATAAAAAATAACTATAAATATAACTTATATCCAATAAATAATAACAACAAGCATTACAGTGGGATAAAACTACATAAATACAATTTCATAATAATTGTCTTATTTTAAGATTATTGTTGTTTGTCACTCAATCCACAATAAATCAGTGAAATGTAATAAGTATATTTTATAGATCAAATGTTAGATACAAACAGTTCGTATTGAGAAAGAATAGAACACGTGATGGACAAATGTGACAGACTTGTCTGTGATTATTCATTTAACTAGCTAATTTCCCTTAGAGTATGATTTAGGATTGAGTATTTTTCATTTATTATTCAAACTTATTTTCTACCCAGTTACCTTAACAATATATTACAGTTCCTATTATCTCGGTCGATTTTTTTAAATTAAAACCTCAATAGATCACTGATCAGCGCTCCGTTGTTTACTTTTGTAATAAATCCCATATACATTCCTAAGCTATTTCACCCGATGAGATGATAAAGTAAACAAATGATGCAGAAACTTTCTTAAACATGATTAACTAGATCCATCTCAGGATAAGTAAGGAAATCTTATTTACAAACCAAACAGCTGCTGAATGAACCCTTTGATGAATCTCCTCAGTCCAATTGAGTGGAACAGCACAGGTCTCTGGATGTTCCTCCTCCTTAAAAAGCTCTGTGCGGTTTCTTCTCCCACTCATCGGTTCAGATGGGGTCGGATCGTCGGATCCTCACCCCGACTGACCCCACCTCCTCCTCCCCCCCTCCCCTCCTCCCCTCCTAACAGGAAGACCGCTGAGTGAAACCAGCGGAGACATGAAGAACAAACAACAACAAACCGGACAGCCACCAGTCCTGACAGGTTGTTTGAATAGTGATTTATGAAGTCAATGCAGCCATGCCACTGACAGTCAAAGGACTAAATAGAGGAGGATATTTATATAACAAACAGTTAGCCATACCGTACGCCTTACATACTTGTAACGTAACTTACATTTCATGAAGTTACCGACAGTTAGTTTACTTTCCCGGCGCCTTTGCTGCCACAGTAACATTTTTATCTGTCAGAAAGTACCGCCTCAGACACAACACATCTTATTTTCAGTGAAAACAACAGATTACTGGTTTTATGGCACGTTTAGCTAGCTGTTGCTCTCTCTATTTATATTAATTAATGTCACAAGTAGGTCGTTCTTGACTAGCTATAATGCATTTGTGGCTAAAGGGGTAACTGAAATACGAACAGGGAATACAAAAATCATAAAGAGTTGACAGTAATGTGAAGCTCTGCTAACCTCATAAAGGTTAGAGCTAACATTAAATGCTAATGTAATAATAATAATAATAATAATAATAACATTTGATAATATGCACGAAACACAATGTAGAACTTGTTTTATTAGTATTTTGTAATTAAGACATTTAAATGATTATTTTTACTTTATTTAGAGTCAGTTAACATTTCAGTTACTTCAAATGTAACATAGATACACATACATGAAAGCAAATAAAGTATATTAATGAACATAAAACGTCAAAATTACAAAAAGTCAGGGGTCAAAATGAATAGATTGCAAATTAATTAAAAACGTAAAAATGGTGAGAGAAGAAATTATGCAAGGGTTTCACACGTATTATACTAAGTAATACATTTTGCTTAATTGAACGAGTAACTCATGAAGAAATAACCAAGTTTCTGTTTTTACTATTCACTGGGTGTCTAAGATTATCATTGACAGTCTTCCACTTAGAATAAATACCGGGCTAAAAAAAACATTTTTTATTGTGATTTTAATACTATAAAGTAGATTAGGTAATGCAGTTTATAAAAGGCCTGTGTGGACAGAAGTCATGGTGGCTGGAGTTGTCCTCATTTGCTCTTTGCAGGTGAGCACCAATAACGAGGAGTCAAGGGTAACCTGGCTACAAGGAAAAATGTGAACATGTACTTTTTGTTTCTCTCCAAACACATATTCAACCCCAACATACAGTTAGGAGACACACCAGTTCCAAAGAAGGATGTGTAATATCAAACGCCTCTTCTTTTTCAGAGAATGATGAGCTCACGGTGTAAGAACAACAGAAGGTCATCTCCGTGTTGCTGCACCTGTGAGTTAATCTATGAATTTTATGACCATGTTTTGTAGACGAAGAACGTAAAGTGCCTTTAAGAGAGATTGAGTCATTTGAATGCCAGTGGATAGTGTGAATGGAAAGAGAGCAGTTATGCAATACACAGAGAGAGCGAGAGCATTTGAGGACTGCTCGGTGTTGGAAGTTCAGTTGGGGTGAGGTTGCACAGAAAAAAGGAACATTGTTCCATGAGCGAGCTAGTGATACTTCCTCCCTTCACATGGAAACGCTGATTTCCCTGTCTCATAGTCAAGCTCACCAAAACAAAACAAGACAGCAGTTAACTTCCCATTCTTTAATTTATGCAGATCGTCTCTTTAGCAAAAACAATGTCACTATTGACCTGTTTGTATGACCGTAACAGATCCGTTTGAACACGTTGATGCACGGCTTTGTGTGCACAGAGGTAGAGAGCGCGTTGGGGGGGAAATTCTGTGAATCAAAAACTGTACCACTGTCCCAAGGTTCAGCTGAATGACCTGCCAACTAATTATATTAAATGAAACATTTTGATTTCAGTTCCTGCCTTTCCAAGAAATGCTAGCAGCTGCCTGAATCACGGGGTTACACTGGAAAAAAGGATCTGTCTTAACAAGTCATTTTTGACTTAATCTAGTTTACTTTAACAAACACAAAATTACTTCTTTGCTGAGATGATTTCATCTGTGTCTCAACTTTTTGATGCATTTTCTGATTCTACATGGGAGATGTTTTTCCAGGAATCTCATCTCAAAGATTAGCGCTTCTGTGAAGTTGTGCTTTGAGCTTAATGCTAACATCAGCATGCTAACATGATCACAATAAAAATGCTAACAGGCTGAAGTTTTAAAGGTATAATGTTTAACATGTTCATTAGCTCTGCTTAGCTTGTCAAAAAGCTAACATTTTCATATTAGTCGGTGCACAAACTGAGGCTCATGGGAGTTTCACTGTTGCAGGTATTTGGTCGTGAACCAAAGTATACCACTATATCAAGTCAGTTAAGTTAGTACAAGTTATCCAGAGAGGAGCCAGTGAATTTCAAACCATGAAAGTCATTATGACATTTCATGACAATCCATTGAATGTTTGAGCTTTTTCAGTCCTGGCCAAAGTGGTGAACAGACACAAATGTTCCTGGAACATTTTGCTTATACTCAGAGACTGTGAATTGACTTAACATCACCCCTACCCTCCATGACTCTAATCCTAACCCCATGTGCTTTTCAGAAGATCGATGCTGTAACAGTTAGCAAGCTACTTCACTGGACAATGGACATTCTGTATTATCTTTCATGGATAATGCAACTGCAATATTATGCAACGTATAACAACTTGGGCAGAAAGCACAACATCCTTTGTACTCATATTTGGGATGACATTTTCCCCATTGGAAGCCAGTTTGCAATTTAAGCAGGGGAACAAGGAAGCTCTGTTTCTGAGTGGCATCAAGAGCATGTGGGTCCCCAGGATACCCAGAGGAATCTAAGCTGAAAAAGACGTAATTCTTTCTCGCATTCATTTATGTCACTATCACCTCATATGACAACACTGGATGCAGGATGAACAACAGATTTTGCAGCTGTGAACTCAGCTTTCTGAGGTCAATAAAGCACGTACTGAGGAATCTATTGCTACAATTTACTACATATAACATACTGTACCATAAACATTGATTTGACATCCACACAAATTTCTAAATAAAAAGCAGAAGAAGAAGAAGAATACCAAACCTTTTTGACTTTTTAACTGCATAGTGATGTGGAGCAGTAAGTGCACATCCAAACCAACATAGTGAAATAATGCTTTAAATAGTTTAAATAATCAATGCCAAGAAATGCAGAAACGTTAGATAAATCAGCTTTGCAAATATTTATAAGAAAGAAAATGAATTCAACATGTTTGTAATGACTTCAATGATAAACATAATTGGGTATGGTGAGAAACAGTGAATTTAGTGTAAGATTTAAATTCTTCTTATAATGCCCTTTTAAAACAAATAGACATGAGACACTAGTAGCAGCTTTTATTGCAGAGGTCCTTTCCTGGTACATTGTGTTCTTGCAGAAAATAAATCATTGCTCATTCTTTATTGCTTTACATGAATATTATGTGATGCTACTTTATAACCTCATTACTCTCATATAGATTACATCAAATGGCAGCATATGTTCACAGCAGAACGATGTGGGTGGGTTTTCATTCTTCTAACTTTGCATGAACAATTTCAGATTTGCTTTGTCTTCAGAAAGTCTCCTGGTCAAGACTTGGTTAAAAGGGTTCTAACAAAAAGGCACTATCCTCTGAGCTGTATCAGTTATGGTGTTTTTGATTGACTTTGCGTAAAAGTCAAGATATCTTAGCTTTGATTTAGACTATTCTTTAATTGTCTCTAGTAAGTCTGTCTTTCAATTGCAATAATAAATCTCATTTTAAGGCTAGGAGCTAGTGAATGTATTATGTCAAAAACTTGTCAGAACATAAGTATAAATGTGTGTGGATGTTCATTAATGTGTAGTGCAGCTTAAAACAAAGGCAGAAAGTCCCCTGAGCAAACAGCAGACACTGGCCTCGTTTGACTCTGTCTTTGTGTACTCTCAAGTTCAACTCAGGGGACTAGCCCCCCCCCTCTCCCTCCCTCCCTCCCTCCATTCCTCGATCCAGTTGGAATCACGGAGCCTCTCTGCAGCCTCAGCTCGGCAGCCTCTGCTCGGCAGCCTCAGCTCTGAAGCGGCTTTCACTGCTTTAATCCTCATCCTGCTTTAGGACATCAGGCCAAGATTCACATTTTGGGAGGTTGCGTAATTGAAAACACACAGTACAGTAATGAACTACACACAGCTGTACAAAGTTACAATTAAATAGCAGAACGGATATTTTTTATGCAGATAAATAGATAAATATTTATCGGCATTTAGAAAATCTAACCCATTTCCTCAGTTTGATGGATGGCAGTGATAGTGCTGTCCTGAGGTCGCAGGGGCTTATAATGATCCACAAATGGTATCTGAATGTGGGTTTCTATGTGACTGAAATATGTCTCCGCTTCTTTTCAGTAACACTGTTCTGCTGGGTTCACACAGTGTCACCCTTCTCTGAGTTTTACAGCGTGTCTGTGCAGGAAAGAAAACAATACAATGCTTGAAGAGAGTCCAATGGTTTCAAATGACTTGATTAGTTTTTGTTATTAAAATCCATAAAAGCTGCAGTTTTAAGGTCGAGTCTTGATGTCAAATGGCTAATATGCAATAATACAACTTCGTTTTAAGAGTTTAATGTGTTTTCCCTATAATGCGGACAGACTGTCGTCAAAAGTCAGAAACAAAAATGGAATTTTCTCCATATCTCCACAGAGGAAAAAGAAGAGATAGAGGGAATTTAATTACAGTAAATCTGTCCCCAGTAAACCTTCCCTCAGCATCTTGATAAGCGGTTGGTACGGAAGTAGAGAATATGATGCTTTCTTTCATGGAAAACTATCATATTAACTGGGTTTGATGATCCATATTTATTAATACTCTTCGCTTGCAGTGGGGGTTTACAGAGAAGAAATCTGCACGTTTGTACTGCCTTTGCCATTTTCCAACTTTAATCTGTTTAGCTGCTTAGATGAAATAGGAAAAGTTAAAAATATGTAATACTTCATGTTTTGTTCATTCTTCAGTGCTTGTTTATCAAAGGCTTGAATATTTCCCCTAATGAATAGTGCGTGCCGAATACCCTCACTCGAAGTATAACATTACGGAAACAGGGAATGATGAATTAGAAAGTGGAAGTTCAAAGGGGGATTTGTGCGAGACTTTGTTTGTTCTTTTCAGGGCACTACAGAGCAGAACAGAGTGTCCTCATTCAAACCCTAAATCTCAGAATCAATTACCCTTAGAACGCTGCGCTACAATAAACTCATGTTACAGATGGAGCCTCAAAACCATCCCTAACCTATTAAACTCTACCTCCTGTATTGGCTTATTGGGCCATTATCATGTATTGATAAGCGAAATCAAAAATGGTTAGGCGGCAACCTCTGGCTGTTGTAATTATGACAAGGAGGAAGTCTGATGCCGTAGTATAGATACTGATATAAAAAACACAGTCAATGCAGTCTATGAAGGCACAAATTATTGGTGGAAAGATGGGCTAAAAACACAGGAGACCACTGTAGAGTATGTGGGTCGTAATTTCTTAGACACAGAAACAAGAAAGGAGTCCTCATTAGCACAGTGACCCTCTAAAGACTCATGGAGAAGACATGGTGAAGCTCTCAATGCAATACCTGTTGGCCAAAAAGGTCCTGAGGCCATCAGAGGAAAAGTTCTTAATGGAATCTTTATTAGAAGCATTGCCTAAACAGTCCGGAAGCCATCGATGGAAATGTCATCAGATATGTCCTGGTGCAGCCACATCTTTGTAAAGCACATTAAACTACAGTCCAGATATTCGGTCCAACTCCTAGCTAACAACGTTATGTCATCCATTATTAGCCATGATCTTACGTTGCCCATGATGAGAGGGGGGAGACGCGACTTATATCTAATTTCCTCCATAAATCTGGACCCTGCTCTCCTCCTATGTCTCTTCAGTTTACCCCTTACTTATATATATAACTTTATTCCCGTTACAAACATACTTTCTTGAAACCAAACCACAGTATTTCCCTTAACCTTACAAAGTAGTTTTGTTTCCACACATAACCAAACCACATGTTTAAAACTGTGACCAATTTGCAACGTACGGGCAGATACAGTTCGCCCTGTCGGAGGCATTATAATGGTAGTGATAACATCTGATAACAGCAATTTAATGGAGATGTTATAACTGATTTAAGAGGCTGTACAGCTCTTTTCATGATGGGTAACATGGTCAGGTGAAATCAGTGGAGGGCCCCTTTAAAGCCAATATATTACAAACAGATTCCCCTTGTTCTTGTTTACCTGGAAACTCTGATGTACACAAAAGGTAACTCTGAACCCCATAAAACAGCTTCCTTTTGTAGGTGTTATTTACCTGTTTGATTGTATTTTAATAGTGTTATACCAAAACAAGGGATTACGTATGGTAACGCTTGTTATATAAACACAGGCGGAGCCCTCTACTGGGTACTCCCCTCGATCCTATCATGCAAGCATTCATCCACTGAGACTTTCTAGACGTAGCCGGACCCTGGGCGGGCCTACCTGAATGCGCACGCATCTCACCGCATAAAAGGAGGCCTCGCCTCCTTACGGCCCGTGCACACAGCGGTGTGCGTTGAAAGCTTCACCATTCACTTTGAATGGGGTGACGTCACTTTTCGCCGAACTGCATTGTGGGAAGCGAAGCGGAGCTCACTGCAAAAGTTGAGAAATGTTCAACTTTTGAAGCTTCTGAATCTTCGGTGGAAGCGTCAGCCAATCAAATCCCGTTTATGCAAATCTGCCAGTACAAG